GGGGGGGGGGGGTGGTGATCCAGTTTTAGGGGAAACTCTACTGAAATTTTTGGAAATTCGAAGAGTTGGATAAATTTTGAGTTCTTTGGTTCTAAATTGATTCTAGAGGGATCTTAATAAGTTAATTATCCATATTATCTCATACACATACTCTATTTCTCCCTAAAATGGGGATAAGATCCTCCGTCAAACTTATGGACGACGAGCGTCAGTTTACGTTTGTGATTCCATTTATTATTTCCTTCATAATCTCTTGAGTCCATATGATAATGCCACATGTGTTATGCCTCATACATGCTTACATTAACTATGTTGGGGGGTATATCCAATAAAGCTAGTGAGACCTATTGATTATATGTTGGGGGAGGGGGGAGATAGCCTATAACACCAGCCGGGTCTATTGATTGTATATTTACCTGCTGAGGAGGATATTGCCCATAACACTAGTCAGACATGTTATATACGTATATATAGCTACAGTTTTCATTACATGACTATACGTGAGGCTACTTTAGATGTACAGTTACCTGATCGGTGGGATATAGCCCACAACGAAATACATATACCAGTTCAAATAATAGTTCAATTTCAGCACAGTTTTAGCTTAAACTTCGGTTTAGTTCCAGATCAGTTACTAGTTCAGACTATTGTTTAGCTTTCAGCTTATATACAGTTACCTATTGATCCTAAAATAATAGATGAATTAAATAAAAATATGATATTTAGCCTTGAGATGGAGATAAAATAGCAAAGATAGTATTTTCGGGAACAGGGCTTCCAGGCACAATAGAACGATATCAGTAAACAAGAAGATCAAAATTATACTGAGCTTTGAATAGAATGTAGTGTGTATTTGCAAATATATTCGCGTCCTTAGCCACTATATCCAAATGTATCCTACCCATCCCTTAGACTACATTACAACCAAATAAAGTCCTATTGATCTTAGACTGAGTGGGGCTCGATTAGTCGAGTACTACACTAGGGGCAAGCCTATGGTGCATCTTTGTGGCATGTGAATGTTCTTTTTGGAGAGTGAGCAAATTCTGTCTATTTGAGTTCCTAATTGTTATCACTATCATTATATATATGGAACTACTCTCTTGTGTGATGTGAAGGCATGTGATTCACAAAGGAAAGGTGCATCTTGACTATTGTGTAGAGTGGTTTAGTAAGTGCAAATGTTACAGGGTACCAAAAACTTGATTCTTGAGGTAAAAGCTGCTCACTACTAGGTGTAACTCTTGTGAAATGTTCTTGGCGTGAGTCGATGAGGGAAAAGCATAGGGAATGAATTCTTATGGAGTGTGGTGAATTGCTCGAGGACTAGCAATACTTTAAGTGTGGGGTGTTGATAATAGGCTATATAGTTGTTATGTAAACCATAATTGCCCATGCTTTGTGGTTGTTTTATAATGTAAGTTGCCTATAAAATGCTTTAATTAACGCTATTTGGTTTCGCAGGGAATATAAGATTTGAGGAAGCAACATGAAGTGTTTAGAGGCAATAACGTGAATAAAACACCGATTCAAGAAGTACCCAGACACAAAAAGAGAAAAAAGAGAAGTAACGCGGAGACAAAAAGGCCCAGCATACTCAACGCGGTCCGCGCCGCAGTTGGAGTCAGTGTCCACCGCGGTCAGCGCCGCGGTGAATGCCGCGGCTGCAGCGGCATGTTCACAGTCCAGAAATTTAAGGGGCCAAAGTGTCAATTCGGGAAAGTTTTTGTAAAACCCTTATAAGATGTAGGAAACTCACCCAAGAAAGGGGGCTTATTATTTTTTTAGAGTACCTTTGCAAGAAGAAGAAGTGTGAGAGATTACCCAAAAACATCATAGTTCTTATTCTCTTCTATCTTTCTGGCAATTTTCCATTATGAATATTTTCGTAGTTTATTCTTACGTTGTTATGAGTAGCTAAATACTTTAATCTAAGGTTTTGGTGAAACCCGTTGGGGATGACTTGGTTGTGATAGTAATATAGTTTGAATTGGTTGTTAATCTCTAATTGTTCATCTACGTTTTGATTGTGGTTAGTTGACAGGGCCCTCAATTATCCGTTCCTATTTATTATGTATCTTCTTGAGAGAGAGTGCATATTTAGGTAGTTGTTGGAACAACATCACTCCCGGAGTATAGACGAGAGTCATAACCGAGGGTTTAGAGGTTGGATTAGAGATAACGATACCTCGGGTGCAATATAAAAGAATGGTAATGTGAATCTAGCTAGCATAGCTTGAGAGAGTGCGTCTAGTAAATGATCATAATTACTCGAGAGAGATTTACGATAGCTGGAGAGTTCTTGATTGATAGAGCCAACTAAGGCATCGCTATAAGAACATGCAACCAAGGAAATTACCAACGGGAGAAACCATTACCTTAGACCTTATTCCAACTGTTTACACATCAAGCATAGTTAATTTTCAGCTGTTAATTATTTTTAGTTTTTAGTTGTTAGAAATATCATCAATCGTGAATTACAAAGTTTGGGGAAATTGATTCTGTGAATTTAGTAAATCCAACAAAAGTAATTGATAGGTTAATTCTCTGTGGTTCGACTCTGGGCAAGAAACAAATTTACTCAGATTATATTTGTTACGTTCGTGTGTGTCCTTGTATAAGGCATAGTTTGGCGTTATAAAATTTTGGTGCCGTTGCCGGGGAATTAACGGTGTTATCAATTACAATTGAGAGAAGTACAAAATAAAATTCTAAGTGTAGTCAGTTTTCTCTATACCCAATCTTTTCATTGAAATTCTAACGTTTGAACTTTTGTGGAAAGCAGGTGTATGCCTAGAAGTTCTTCGAGGACTAGAGAACTGCTATATGGACTCTCAGACCCCGAGAAAATATTCAGGTCATTGAACCGTGCCAACAAAATACTTCAACAATCTCAACAATCACACCAACTCGAATTTGACATGGGTGACGTAGATAACGTCAACGGAAACGTCAAGAATGAGCCAGCTGACTTAAATGTCAGAGGGGTGGCACCTCTTGTGCTCGAAGTTGCACTTTATGACTGGGCACAACCCACAACTGATAATCTGGCCATTTCCATAGCTGTGCCCGCAATTCAAGCGGAGACATTCCAAATCACCAACAATATGTTGCATCTGCTGCAAAATAAGGGACTGTTCTCCGGGTCACACATTGAAGACCCTCAACAACACTTGAAAGATTTCTGTTAATTTGTATGACCTAAAGGCAGCCAAATGCGACTCCGGAAGCTATCAAGCTGCTACTGTTTCCATTCTCGGTAATCGAGGAAGCTCAGACTTGGCTAAATTCGCTCCCTATCAACTCTATTACCACCTGGGAGGAATTAGTCAAGCAGTTCCTAAACAAGTTCTATCCGCCTAACAAGACTGCAAAACAGATTTATGACATATTGCAGTATAGGCAGCAGCCCACTGAGTCCTTGCAAAGAAACTTGGGAATGATTTAAAGGGATATTAGTGAAGTTACCTCACCATGGCATTCCAGACCAGATGATCGGACAGAGATTCTACATGGGGCTAGCTGACAATTTGAAAGCAAATGTGGATGCTTCAGCTGGAGGTGCATTTTTAAGTAAAACATTCACTGAGTGCAAAATCCTTCTTGATAAGATGTCACAAAATTCGGGGTGGATGAAAAGAGGTACAATACTGGCACCCATAGTGCATTCAGTTCCTCTTGACCCAAATAATTCGCATGCAGAGAACATGGCTACACTCATGACCCAGATGTGCATATTGACAAAGAAGATTGATAAGATGGGTACAAAATAGGTGCACATTGTTGATACAACAAATGGGGGACTATGTATACCTTGTATTAATCAGTCTTATGTGTGTTCATGGAGCGGAGAAGGTGAAAATCAAGGGACAAGGGAAGATATGAATTATGTCAACAACTATGGGGGTCAGAGGCAAGGAGCACAGTAGTGGAGACCACAACAAAATCAGCAGTACAGGCCTAATATGCAGCAGCCTGGGGGTATGCACCCCCAAAACCAATTGGTGCCAGTACCATATCAGAAACCACAGGGCTATCCACAGCAAAATCAGCAAAAATTGACATACCAACCACCCCCTCAGCAGCAAGATAACAACATGGTGTAAATCAGAGGTATGTTTTAGCAACTCATTGGGACAAATAATAAAGTGCAGGAAAAATTGGCAGTGCATGATTCAGCCATAAAGAATATTGAAACGCAGCTGGGTCAGCTGTCCATGGCTTTGAACAACCATCCTTAGGGATCTTTGCCTGCAGACACAAACATAAACCCCAAGGACCAAAACCCGAATCAGCTGATGGCAGTAAGTCTCCAGAATGGGAGAGATTTAGACAGAGAGCAGGAAATTGCACAAGCCAGCAAGGATACTACACCAGCCACTCCAGTTCAATTAGAGGTAGAGGAACCAACAGAACTTACTGAAGTGGTGGTTGAGCAGAGTCAGGAGGAAAAAGGCAAAGAAAAGATGAATGAGCAAGTCACAGAACAGGTGGCACCTCTTGTGCCAGAAAATTCTAACAGAGAGAAGCCAACAAGCAATGCACAAAGGGTGATACCTGTACCCTTCCCCCAGAGACTGGTCAAATAAAAGAAGCAGACCAATATAAGAAGTTCATGGAGATGCTGCGTCAAATTCAGTTGAATATTCCTTTGATGGATGCCTTGAGGGAGATTCCCGGTTATGCTAAGATGATGAAAGATCTAATGTCACGGAAGTTTGATTTTCAGGATCTATCCATTGTAACTCTGACACAGACCTGCAGCGCAGTGGTGGCAAAACCAATGGCTCAAAAGATGTCGGACCTAGGTAGCTTCACTATTCCATGCACAATTGGAAGTTATGCCTTTGCAAAGGCGTTGTGTGATTTGGGAGCCAGCATAAATCTGATGTCGCTAGTTGTGTACACCAAACTGGGCATTGGTAGAGCTAGGCCAACTTTGATGCTGCTACAGCTGGCTGACCGCACAGTGAAGAGGCCCACTAGTATTCTTGATGATGTGTTGGTGCAAGTGGGGAAGTTCGTGTTCCCTGTAGACTTTGTTATCTTGGATTGTCAGGTGGATAAAGAGATACCCCTTATTTTAGGGAGACCATTTTTAGCCACTGGGAGAGCACTGATCGACTGTGAAACTGGGGAATTAAAAATGAGATTGAACGATGAAGAAGTCATATTCAATGTTCAACAATCTATGAGTAGACACAGTGACTATGCTAATTGCTCTCTAGTGGAAGCAGTGGATGTAATCCTGCAAGAAGATGATATGACCTTAACTGTAAAAGATCCATTGGAGGCATGTCTGATGAATTTAGAAGAAATGAATGGTGAAGGGTTAGCTGAATGGGTCATGGCACTGGAAGGCCGAGGATTTTGGTCAAGGGAACCTTAGTTTGAGTCCTTTGAGCTAGAAAAAAGGGCCACTCCTCCAGCAAAGCCATCAATAGAGGAACCACCCAAGTTGGAACTGAAGCCACTCCCAGATCATCTCAGGTATGTGTTCTTAGGCCCTGATTCGACCTTGCCTGTTATCATATCATCCAGTTTGCTAGATGTGTAGGTATAACGGCTCATATAGGTACTGCAGGAAAACAAGACTGCCATTGGCTGGACCATGGCAGACATAAAGGTTATCAGCTCAGCCTTTTGTATGCATAAGATTCTGCTGGAAGGGGGGTATAGACCTTCCAGGGAACACCAGCGAAGGCCGAACCCAAACATGAAAGAGGTTGTAAAGAAAGAAGTAATCAAATGGTTAGATGCGGGAATCATCTTCCCCATCTCTGATAGTAATTGGGTCAGTCACAGGGTGTGGTATCTGCATGGATTACAGGAAATTGAACACAGCCACCCGGAAGGACCATTTCCCCTTACCTTTCATTGACCAAATGTTGGATAGGCTGGCTGGGCGATCACACTTCTGTTTCTTGGATGGATATTCAGGGTACAATCAGATATCAATATCCCCCGAAGATAGAGAGAAAACATCCTTCACCTGTCCGTATGGCATCTTTGCCTTTCGGAGAATGACTTTTGGGCTTTGCAATGCACCCGTGACTTTTCAATGGTGCATGTTAGACATCTTCACAGACATGGTGGAGGATATTATGGAGGTCTTTATGGATGATTTCTCCGTGGTGGGAGATTCATTCGAAGACTGTCTTCACAACTTAAGGAGAGTGCTTAAAAGATGTGTGGAGACAAACTTAGTGCTAAACTGGGAGAAGTGCCATTTTATGGTACAATAAGGTATAGTCCTGGGGCATCGAGTGTCCAGTAAAGGAATTGAGGTCGACCATGCTAAGGTTGACATGATTGAGAAGCTACCACCGCCCACTTCAGTCAAGGCGGTGAGAAGTTTTCTTGGTCGCGCCGGGTTCTACCGATGTTTCATAAAAGATTTTTCCAAAATTGCTAACCCATTATGCAAACTGTTTGAAAAGGATCAGCCCTTTGTATTTTCTAATGATTGCAGGTTGGCATTTGAGGAACTGAAGAAGAGATTGATAACGGCACCCATCATTGTTGCACCCAACTGGGAACAACCATTTGAGCTCATGTGTGATGCCGGTGACTATGCTATAGGAGCAGTCTTGGGGCAGCGAAAAGATAAGCTGATGCACCCATTACTATGCAAGCAGAATGCTAAGCGGTGCACAGCTCAATTACACAGTGACGGAGAAGGAGATGTTGGAGGTGGTATTTGCTTTTGACAAGTTCCGATCATATCTGATTGGCTCCTAGGTAATTGTATATACTAACCATGCAGCTCTCAGGTACCTAATTGAGAAAAAGGAGTCTAAGCCACGCCTGATTCGTTGGGTGCTACTGTTGCAAGAATTCGACCTCGAAATTCGTGATCGTAAGGGCACAGAAAATCAAGTCGCTAATTATCTATCGTGACTTGAAGGAGTTGAAAAATTAGTCGAGGTTGAAGAGATCCTGGAAACCTTTCCAGACGAGCAGCTGCTCGCAGCCAGTCTTGAGGCGCCATGGTATGTAGATTTTGCAAACTACCTGGCCTACGGTATTATTCCCTATGACCTTTCATCTGTCCAAAAGAAAAAGTTTTATCGTGATTGCCACATGTATTATTGGGACGAGCCTTATTTGTTTAGAATCTATGTTGATAATATGATCCGGAGGTATGTCCCCGAGATAGAATAATCTTCTATTTTGAAGGATTGTCACGCATCAGCATATGGAGGACATTTTGGAGGAGCCAGGATAGCTGCGAAAGTGCTAGAGGCCGGGTTATTTTGGCCAACAGTGTTTAGAGATGCACACCTATGGGTGAAGGGCTGCGATGAATGTCATCAAACCGGGAACATTTCCCCTCGCCATGAGATGCCCATGAACCCGATTCAAGAGGTAGAGGTGTTTGATGTTTGGGGGATTGACTTCATGGGCCCCTTCGTCAGCTCATTTGGAAATAAATACATACTTGTTGTTGTGGATTACGTGTCTAAATGGGTGGAAGCTGCAGCGTTGCCCACTAATGATGCAATAGTGGTGATAGGTTTTGTGAAAAAGAATATATTCACCCGATTTGGGATACCAAGAGAGATCATCAGTGATGGAGGCACTCACTTCTGTAATAGAGCCTTTGAGAAATTGCTTGCAAAGTATGATGTACGCCACAAGGTGTCTACCCCTTACCATCCGCAAACCAGTGGGTAGGTTGAAGTGTACAACAGGGAGATAAAAAGTGTACTAACCAAGACGGTGAATGCCACACAAACTGATTGGGCAAAGAAGCTTGATGACGCACTCTGGGCCTATAAAACTACGTTCAAAACACCAATAGGTATGTCACCATATAAGTTGGTATTTGGGAAGGCCTGTTAACTGCCTGTGGAGCTAGAACATCGAGCTTGGTGGGCACTAAAACAATTGAACATGGATCCCTAAGCAGCTGGACAAAATCGACTGACAGAGTTGCATGAGGTGGAAGAATTTAGATATCAAGCCTTTGAAAGCATGAGGCTCTACAAGAAAAGAATGAAGAAGATGCATGACAAGCACATTGTGGACAGAAATTTCAAACCCGGTGATAAGGTATTATTGTATAATTCAAGGCTGAGATTGTTTCCGGGTAAGTTAAAGTCCCGATGGTCAGGGCCATTTAGAGTGGTGCAAATGTTTGCAAATGGAGCTGTTGAAATTGAGTCAGAAGATGGGACAAACAAGTTGTCAATAAATGGGCAAAGGTTGAAACATTACCTTGGAATAGCTGAAGAAAAAGGGAATACAGTGGTGATCAATTTGAAAGAACCCCAGTACACGAATGAGGAGTGAAGGCTCAACCACTTGTATCGTGCCGCGACGTTAAATCAGGCGCTGCATGGGAGGAAACCCACGAATGTGTTGTAAGTGTAGTATGTAACTTCGTGTTTAGAAGACAAAAAACAAAATTGCCAGCCGCGACCGCGGAAATCACTAAACGTTGAATTTTTCACCGCGGCCACGGCTCTGGCCGCGGTAACTACCGCGAGAGACTTTGTCTCAGACCGCGACGTCGACCGCGACGATGACCGCTGATATTTGTTTTTCTTTTCCCACTCTTCTTTTAATTTTAAAACCCTTCCCTATATCAAAATAAACAACCCCCCCTAAAATCCCCGCTTCTCTCTCTCTCTTTAAAACCTAACCCTTCCCTCCATACTCTCTTCTTCTTATTCTCCCTCCTTCACAACATCCCCCATCTTTTTCCCCCAAGGTATGATTCCGACCCCCCCTTCTCCTTTCCTTCTATTTTTTGTTGTATTATGCTTGTTAGAGTTGTTCTAATGTAGTGTTAGTGATAAGATTTTGTTTTGTTTAGTTTTTCTTCTTCTTTTTAGTGTAATTTCATTTTTAGCATATGTTTGGTGAAGGGGTTGTGTTTTGAATGTGTGGAATGGTATTGTTGGTGGGTGATGGTTTAAAACAAAAAAAAGAAGTGTGGAATGTGTAAGTGTAGTGAATTGGGGAAGTCTTCTTGATTCTCTTGGGCCATGAATATGAAATAAAAAAATGCCTTGCCCACAATGTGTTTGTAAAATTGCCTCAATGGAGATATAAGGAGATGTTGTGACATGGTAGTGGTGAAGTCTGAGTAACCACCCATAGTCACCATTTTATGCTCATCCTAATACGTGTTTCTCTGTTTTGACAAGCATTATGAGTTCATCCCGTAAGAGACGAAACACCGGCTCCTCTGCGAGTGGCCTAGGAGGATCCTCATAATCTAGGGCCCAATCCAGCACACCACGATTTGATAGATCTCGGTTCGTCTCTGAAGAAGCAGAGGCGAGGTACAATCAGAAACTTGCCAAGAAGCTACTCCATGAGGTCCATATCGACAGGAAGGCATTGGTGAAGGAATGCCCCAATATGTTTGATGAGCTACGGAGGTGTCAACTAGACATCTTCTTTGAGGCTCCTGAGGAAGCCAATATTCAGCTAGTGAGGGAGTTCTATGCAAACCTGCCAGAACACGGGGACAAGGTTGTGACTGTGCGCAACACCCCGGTTAATGCTTCTATAGAGGTCATCCGCAAAGTGTATCGCCTCCTCGCGTTCACGGGTGATGATCATTACATCAAGGCTGGCTGCTCGATGGTTGACTGGGACAGAATTCTGGAGGTCATTTGTATACCTGGCAGACAACCCAAATGGGTAGCACAACCGATGACTCTACACTCTAAGTCGCTTACTTGGGAGGCCAAATGTTGGCTCACTGTCATCACCACTCGGTTCCTACCATCCAGCAATACCACCAATGTAAATGGTCCACAAGCCGCTATGATCTACTGCTTCATAACTCACCAAGGGTTTGATGTCGCCCGAGTCCTCTCTGAAGAAATGTTCATCCGGTCGCCCGAACTAAGCAAATGCGGCTACTTCCCTTCACTTGTCACCCGTCTATGCCGCCTTGCTAAGGTTCCTGAGAACTCCCGAGTTGATGGGAAATTACCTATGAAAACCCCTTTTCGGGCGAGAAAAATTGGTCAAGAGGGAAGAGAACCAGTGTAATGCAATGATGACTCGTCTGATGAGTCTGAGGATGATTTTGATGCTGCTGAAGCTACTGAGATCACAGCCCCTCCTAGAGGGGACGAGGCAGGATCATCACAGCCATGCCGGAGCACTCAAATGGATGCTCTGGAGCAGGAAATGACTGGACTGCGGACCTCCGTCACTGTCTTGGGGTCCCGCATGGATGTTGTGGCTGATTGACAGGTAAAGTCAGAAAAGAAGTTCATGGGCTGGTTGAGAGCACTGGGTCGTGCCTGCAACATGAACCCATACACAGTTTCGGATCAAGAGTGACCCTTCAGGGAAGTTTCTTTACCTTACTGCTTTTTATATTGTCAAGCCATGAGGACATGTCTTAATTTTAAGCGTGGG